AAACTCGGAGTGCTGCTTTGACTGGGAAGGGGCTATACAGTAGGTTAGATGCAGATTAAACAGAAAACAGAGTTGATGATGCTCTCAGGCAAGGTTCTTGTAACGAGAGGAGGGGAAAAGGTGCTGTTTGCTTCTCTGCATCCCTATCTCTCCTGTCTACTGGGGATCTGCATAATGGCCTCAGGCACCTGACAAAAGAACACCTGTTCTTGCGCAAAAACTTGCAGAGCATCTACACTGCAAGCGCGTTCTTGCGCAAGTACATTTACAGTACAGTGTCGGAACAGAGGGCTTCTTGCAGAAGAGTTATTCTTCTCCCCACGAGGAATAAGCCTTTTTACACAAGAGCTCTTGCACAAGAAGGCAGTGTGGATGGGCAACATGGATTTCTTGCGCAAGAAACCCCTATGACTAAACTGGCCATCAGAGCTTTCTTGCATAAGAAAGCGTCCACACTGCCATGGACATTCTTGTGCAAAAGCACATCTCTTGTACAAAAGCACATTGCAGTGTGGATGTGCTCTTGCGCAAGAACTTTTGCACAAAAACTCTTGCGCAAAACAGTTCTTGCGCAAGAAGCCTGCAGTGTAGACGTAGCCCAATTAGAGTATTGAGCTTAGCTGGCATGTTTTATTTTGCTTAGTAACTTAATTTTGATCTGTGCCTTATTACTTGCTAGCACTTAAATCCTACTTCTATATTTAATAAAATCACTTTTTGTTTCTTATTAAACCCAGTGTAAAAATAATAGTTCCCTCTGGGATAGGAGGACAACAGCTGGATTTTAGATGTCTCCCCTCTCTAACCTGGCTTCCCATTAACCTCAGGTCAAGGTCAAGGTCTTGGTCCTTTTCTTCAAGGTGCTTGGTGGCCTGAGTTCAGGTTATCTATAAGAAGGGGGTCCAGTGAAATCAGGGAGAAAGCACACATTTTCATGGGTTAGTAACAGCAGAAATAGTACATTTTGCAGAGGTGTAACACATCCAGTGCTGCACACGCTTACAGCAAGGGAATTTGGCCAAGGCCTGATCTGCCTTAAGAAGTTAGGTTGATCCTGCTACATTGCAACAAACTTAACTTGGCTGAGAGAGCTGCATACTCTCTCAGTATGGGAGGTGTCAGTGGGAAATGTGGGGGTTGGAGTTTGCTGTTTGTTCCCTGCGACACATGACTTCAACTGGCAGATTCAGAAAAGTTCTGCAGGCAAGCTGGTGGGTCAAGGAGTAGTATTAGCAACAGGTTAATAGTTTCAGAATTCTACCCCCTTGCTGAGACTGAGTGGGTAATACAGCAACTCAGTTTTGGAAGCCTCAGAAAAGATTGCCACGTGCTCGTCACTTACACGCCCAAAATAAGATTCCAAAGGCTTTCTTAATATGGTCAGTTGGTTGAATTTGGTTAGCGTGCCCATTGCTGCAGATCTGAGTGACCCTAGTTGCCCTCCTACAACAGTGAGCTTTACAAGGGATCTCACTGCCTCTGCTTCAACTGGGCAAACCAACCCTCCCCTATGCTACAGTACTGCAGAAATTGGGGCTGCTGCTAACTTCTTTAAAGGTTTCAGATCCTGGCTACTTAGGGGCTCTCTCTTGCTGCACTCAGAACTGCCATGGAAGTCAGGGATGTTCTGCCCTGCTCTCACTTGTTTATCAGCAGTTTGTCGTTGGGTACCTGCACTATGAGGCATCCCAAACTAGCAGACATCAGTGACCGCTGTCATCATATTCACTGGATGGAAGTGAGTTGGGTTTTTACCCCAGGGAGCTTTCTGCCCTGCTTCCAGGGTGATCAATATCAGGAAAATCTAATGTGCTGTAATTGAGGAGTAAACTGTTCCTGGTTATTTTCAGAAACAGTTGCTCCATGGAGTAGCAGGAACAGTATGGCTTCAGGACCACAAGCCATTACCCAAGAATCAAACTGCCCCCTGCTGGAGCATTTGCTGTAAGGGAGATAGTTACTGAACCCGTGCCTCTACCTCGGCTGAAGGAGCTTAAAGGTGACCTGGAAAGGAAAAATGACAGGTTAGCTCCCTTCCTGCCCTTTATTCATAGAGGATAAAAGCCTGAAACAAGTCCCCTCCCCATTCCAAGAGTGTGTGGAGGGGAAAGGTTATACTAGAGGCACCCACCTTTACCCAGTTCCTATGGCACAGGCATAACTCTGTCAATTTTGGCACTTACCCGTACTCATTTCTAGCGTTCAGGCATAACCTTACACTGTGCGGGTCTGCAGGTTTGTTTGTTTTTTTACCAGTGAAAGAGCCTTACACAGCAATATTCTACTTAATCACAAAAACCAGAATGCACAAGCTAAGCATACACTGCTCAGAACTCTCAATAAGACAGGTGAATTTTTCTTAATGGCCTGTCAAGTTCAGGTCCAGCTGTGGGACTCCAATTTCTGCACCGTGTCATTGACACAGGGTTGAGGTCTGGCAGTTCTGACCCTGGAGAGGTGTGCTGGAGTTGGTTCCCAAAGAACTTCCTTTTGGACCCGTTCATACATTGAAACTTGAGTCCTGCTCAGTTGTACCTTCACCAGAAATTTACTAATCAGGTCTAACAAAATTCTCTAAACAATCATATCTCACCCACTTCATTCATTTACATGTAGCAAAATTGTTTCTGTCTTTTATATAATCAAAAAGCCAGAGATCATACAGACAAACAACAGGGAAGTGGGGACCATAATGACAGAATAAAGAAATGAGGATTTCACAACCTCTACTATTGATCAGTGATTTCTTGCCAGACAGAATGCTGTCAAACTAAGTTTTCTTCAACCATCTTAACAGCTAGTTATCTGGTGATAGTGGCTGCCAGTAGGATGGTAAAATGAAAGGAAAAAATATATAGCACTTTAAAGACTAACGAGATAGTTTATTAGGTGATGAGCTTTTGTGGGCTAGACCCACTTCCTCAGATCATATTCTGAAAGAGAATTGGCATGCCTCTTTTACATTGTTTTAATGTAATTGAATGGAATGTGAAGCAGTGACTTCCTGCTTCTCAATTAAAAGCCGCTGCTCTTTTAATCTATCTGCAGACAAAGGCCTTAGACCTTACAATATGAAAAAGGCCCCCTTTTTTACAGGACTGAAGGACTGATAGGAACTAGCAAGAGGGAACGGAGGATAAAGAAAAGGCAAACACTTCTAAGAGGGAAGGTCTGTTACAGAGAGGAAGAGTCCCACAGAGGGACTTCAGTCATTGATATTCAGAGTGGACAAAAAGCATTAGAACCATCCAACAGCTGCAACACAGTGGGGAGAGGCAGTTCTGGCCAGTGATTCCAAGCACAGCCTTCCTCTCTGGTGTGTCTATGTGGCATCTTCCTCACCCAGAGCCCCGTGTGTTACAGCCTTGTCCAGCTGAAATGCTTTGGGTCTGCCAGCCTGAAAGATGTGTGTGGTTCCCAGAAGTCACCGGCATGGTGTCCTTATAGGTCTCTGCTCTGTCCAATGATGACAACCATTTGGCTGAGTGTGTGTGTTCCTCCGAGAGAGCCCCCTAAATCAGATAAGAATTGAAGGCACCAGGCCAGATTTATTGTCAAAGAACCGTAATAGTTGGCAGTAGACCCTACCAAATCACTGCACGCATGTAATCCCTGACAATGGACCAGCTCAGCCAGTGGAAGGCCCCACTGCCCCCTAGGCTGGACAAAAACAGCCCCTCCAAGATACAACTTTATACACAGGTACAAACAAGTTACACCTCACTCCTGATGTATCAGGCTGCCACCCTCTGATGTTACCTAGATACCACCCCAACACCTTGGGCTGGGGGTTCAATCAAAACAACTCTATGCATCATGTTATCATTTTAGCCCCTTTCCTGAACTTGGGTCAGTATGTGCCTGTTATCTGGGGGGAGTATGTGGGTACCAAGATGCTTTTTAATGACGTGTTATCATCATCCCTCTGGAATATGCTTTCAACCCGTGCCCAATATCAATTAGTGTTTTAGAGCCAGTACCTAGTACCACTTATTGTTTTACACCTGTGCCTGTTACCAATTAGTATTTTACACTGTTCCAAGAATTCCAGGAGCAGAGGCCTGCCTCTTGTTCATAGTTTAGCTTAATATTAACAAAGTCTCGACCGTTGTTGGCTAGGTGTGAAGCCTCATCAGACCTGGGATGTATGGGCTTATGTTTCAGGCCCTCATCTTACTACAGTGTGGTATAAAATTGATGTCCCAGCTAATTTTCAGCCTGTCAGCATGGAGTTAATTGAACTAAGCCCATACTGCAGTGCCATGCAAAGAATCCTTTCTAGATTTCTTACATGACATGTGTGCATTGAACTTAGGATATACCAGTGGCTTCCCTGGGTGCAATGTTAGATCATACTTAGCTCCTATATTACAGTGATGGGCACCCTAAATAAGGCCCTACCAAATTCACAGCTGTGAAAAATGATCATGGACTGTGAAACATGGTCTTCCCTGTGAAATCTGTGTACTTTAGGGGGTGCTGGTAGTGTTACCCTTACATCTATGCTGCCTTCAGAGCTGGGTGGCTGTTGGCTGGATACCCTGTTCTGAAGGCAGTGCCACTGCCAACAGCAACACAGAGCTAAGGATATCAATCCCACAACCCCCTTATACTGTTATGGCCCTCCTCTTTTGGATCAGGACCTCCCCACAGTTACAACACAGTGAAATTTCAGATGTAAGTAACTTGAAACCATGAAATGTAATATTTTTAAATCCTATGACGATTAAATTTACTAAACTGGACCATGAATTTGGTAGGGCCCTAACTATAGAACAAGATGAGACAGGACAGGAATGGCAGGATTTCCCAAAGTAGTAACAATAAATCCATTTATTATATCATGTGAAAATTAAAAATAAAATGTTACATGATATTTCCACTGAAAAAAATATATTCAGGGACATGTCATCAGCAAAGACACCCCTATTCTGACTACTGTGATCAGTCCCCTTAATGTATGTGCCAGATACAAGAGGGAATA